GCGGCTCTGGAAGCCAACAGCTACGACTTGGGCGCGACGATCGCGTCGCTATCGCAACCCGGTGATGGTGACCCCATCTTGCAGCACGCGGAGGATGGCCACGTTGTGGTCGGAAAGTCCATGTCAATGGAGCCACCCAAGATCGCTACACCTCCGAGCAACAGTCGTAGTCCAGTGGTCTGCAAGTACTGGCTGTCTACCGGCCAATGTCTCCGTGCCGATTGCCGTTTCAGTCATGATCTAACCAACCACCTTTGCAAGTGAGTATACTCCTGAGCCTCTCAAGGTATTGTTTTCGTAAGAATAGGACACTAAATAGCAGCGCGTTCGTATAGGTATTGGGTTATGGGGAACTGCTTGGCAGGTGACGGCTGTCCATTTTCGCATGACCCTTCAGCTCTCGTTGCGAATCTCAGTGTGACAGACGGTACTCCCGGCACAGGATCGCCTGGCACGTCATTTCACATGGAAAGTACCTCAGATGCCTTTCCTCCTCTGCAGTCTACTGCCGGGATGGGAGACCAATGGGCTGGCCAGTATCTTGGCAAGTATCCTGGCCATTTGTCTGCGTTCCCTGGCAGCAAATACGTGCCTCAGGCCATGCAGTTTGCTGTTGGCAAGCGGAATGGAAGCATGACCAATCTGTCCCGCCCCCATTCCCGACCAGGGAGTCGGCATCAGCATCGTGAGCTGAACCCGGCTGCCCCATCGGTCGATGATCCAGACGCATTCCCCACCCTTGCTGCTGTCAGTGCCAAAAACACCGGCAAGAAGCATCATGGGAAGCGCGGAAATCGCGACAATATTTCAAGCAGAGAAAACATGCCTACATCTTTAGCGGACGTGGTTCGCATGTCCCCATCTCCGGCACCAGGGAAGGGGAAGACTTCGTCTAAAAACAATCGGGATGGGGCTAAAGGCCGTGAGCATAGCGCAGCCGCTCAGGCAATCCCACCGCCGCAGAATATTCCCTGGTTGGAAACTGGTTCCCGAGCGAACCAACAATATATCAAATACCGGACGGAGGCTATCCGCCATGGTACTGTACGGAACAAATTTCTTCAGAGGTAAGTTGATACTCTTTCAAAGTCAAAAGGCTTGGAGCTGATTGTCCGGATAGTGCTGCTCAAGCGTGGAACCGCAATGACGCAAGAGCCGCAAAAGCTCTGTCTCTGCGGGGACAGGCTGAAAACGAAGCCATGCGCAAGTGTCATCGGGAAGCAGCACGGCAACTATACGAAGAACGCAACAAACATCTTTTAGACGCTGGTCTGGATGATGCAGCGGAGGAACTCTATGTTGATTTGCATGGCTTGCATCCCGAGGAGGCCATTGAATACCTGGAGAAGATCCTTCTCAAACATGCCCGCGAAGGCCGCCGAGTAGTCTACGCCATCACGGGCACGGGCCATCATTCAAAGAACGGCAAGGACAAGATCGGCAAGGCCGTCAAGGCATGGCTGAATGAATGGAAGTACCTGTTTCGCGAGTTCAGTGTCCCCGGCGAGCGGGGCGGATATGTCGGAGGCATCCTGGGGATTGACCCCACCAGCTACGATAAATCATTAGCCAAGAGCTTGGAAGACGATGCCAACGGCAAGGCGGATGCGGACCAGCCCGTCCTGACCATGGGCAAGATCCAGCTGTTGAAGCGCGAAGACCTGGAGTCAAAGCAATAATACACAGCAAAATTTAAACCCTCAAGGGAACCCATTTCTTGATTCCTGATCGTCAAAGTCAACGCCGCACTCCAGCTCAAACTCGTACACGCTTTGGAGAATACTAGGGTTTATAAGAATCCTTGTAGGGAAGCCAATGCCACGGAGTGTAAGAGGTGATCATTAGACTATCTACTCAAACTTTTTCTTGATCTCATTTCGGTTCTACCTTCCCCTCATCCAACGAGTACCATCATATATAGTTATTCCTCATTTGTCAACCGGCTTGACTACTTGTATATATAACTCCACTCACCCAAAGACACGCACATCATCTGTATTCATCTTCATCACTCCGGCTCCTGGTGGCCCCACTCCTCTCTCAAACCCCCAACATCAAACCCACACGCCTCAGCCTTCCTAACCACCGCCCTGGCCTTCTCCGCTACCGGCACATCAATCATCTTCCCATCCAGCGTCCACGCACCCCGCCCGGCCCTGGCAGCCTTCTCATCCGCCACACACACCCTCACAGCCCACTTAACTTCCTCCGGATCCGGTCCAAAGATCGCCTGTGCCGTCTCGACCTGCGACGGATGAATACACTGCTTCCCATTGAACCCCAGCCGTCTCCCATCACGACATTCCTCCTCCAGCACCGCAGGCGGAGACCCGTCCCCCTTGGTAGATTTATACGCCGTGCAGACCAAATCAATAGTCGAGGGAAGGTTCGCAGCGCGAGCAGCAGTAGCAATCATCGACCTTGCGAAAAGGAATTCAGTGAGTGATGGGGTTCGAGTAATGCTGAGGTCGAGGGCGAAGTCTTCAGCTGCGAAGATGAGGCCTTGAAGGAGGGGCGTGGAAGCGCAGATTTGGGTGAGGTTTGTGAGGGATTTGGCGGATTCGACTAGAGCGAGGAGGGAAATGGGAGTTCGGGGGGTCGAGGGGTCTTGTGTTTGTTGCTGTTGGGGGAGAGTGTGTGTGATGACGTCGTTCACGAAGGTCAGGTCCGAGGGGGTGTTGACTTTGGGGATTACGATTGTGGTGAGGTTGGGGGATTTGAGCTATTTTATGTTAGTATATTGGATTGAAGAGGGAAATTTTTGGGAAAAGGTGATGCGTACCACTTCGGTAAGATCGCCTAGGGCGAGTCCGCTGTCTACGGAGTTAATTCGCACGGCTCGTTCGCGGATTCCCTGCGGTGCGGGCTCGTCGAGCGCTCTCCGCACCAGGGACCGAGCTTCCGCTTTCTTGTGCGGAGTTACGCTGTCTTCGAGATCGTAGGCCACGCAGTCGGCGGTTAGAGTGCGGGATTTGTCGATGAAGCGTTGGGAGGAGCCCGGGACTGGGATTGGACGGGTTAGTTAGGGGTGAACTGGTATAGCCGGATGGGCAGGTTGGGGAGTGGGAGAAGGGTTGGAAATGCGGGGAGAGCTGCGGGTTGGGAAAAACTGAGGGGAGAAACGTACTGTAGAGAAGGGCGCGACGGAGGGTATTTCTGGCTGCCATTGTCGATTGGAGGAAAATGCTCAGTACGGATTGGGAAGATGATAGTGAGTGGCTATCGCACTGAACTGCAATGTCTCCGGTGGATTGAGGAAATGGAGATATCGGATGAAGCTGCAGCGGTTGCGGATTGACCCGCAACTTTAAGAGATCCTCGGTTTGCGCATAAAGGCTTCTCCAGTCAGGAACCGGCCGATGACCTCATCCGGCAGGTGTGTCGCGACTCACGCGTATTTAAGTTCGTTCCATTGACGCTTGCACCATTCTTTTGTAGTGAATAATTGGGTTTACACCCTTGGCAAGCGCTCAACTCGGGCAATATAACTGAACCCGTGTGCCGATCGCGCATGAAACATGGGGAGTCGGAGAAATAAGATGAAAAGAGTGTCAAGTAACCGTCTGCCGCTCCACATTCTGCCGTGCCCCACCGCCCCCTGGCTGGAGACACGCAGCATCAACGCAGTCCCGCCTCGCATGATCTGGACTCGCCAGGAGGCTGCTTGACTGCCGTCTATCTCATGTGCATTGGACTGTTATCAGAAGTAACTGCTTCGTCTTGATACTGCACGCTCTCTGTCATCATGGAACAGCAACCGCTCCAGCCGCAGCAGGGCGAACTGAACTGGCGCCTCAGTGCTCACCCGATTACCCTCCTGTTCTTCCTGGGCTTTCGCATCAGCGCCCTACTGATGTACCTCTTCGGCGTGCTCTTCATCAAGAACTTGTGCGTAAATTCCTTTCATACTCAAATTCATGATCATAACTCTTTCATTCTTCAATTCCGGAACCTCCCAAAGCTGCACAATCTAGATCCAAGCAACCAACCCAGCTAACAACCGCAACCAGTGTCCTCGTCTTCATCATCACCCTCCTCATCCTCTCCGCCGACTTCTACTACCTCAAAAACATTGCCGGTCGTCGCCTGGTCGGTCTCCGCTGGTGGAACGAAGTCAACACTTCCTCCGGCGACTCCACTTGGGTCTTCGAGTCCTCCGATCCCACTACCCGCACTATCACTGCCACGGACAAGCGCTTCTTCTGGCTGAGTCTGTACGTAACGCCTGCGCTGTGGATCGGTCTTGCCATTCTGGCCATTATCCGTTTGAGCAGTGTGATTTGGTTGAGTCTTGTTGGTGAGTTTATCCTCACACCTCCCCTTTCAGCAGGTGTATAAGGAGTGTGGAATACTAACTGGGCACAGCCATTGCTCTCGCTCTGACCATCACCAACACTGTTGCGTTCTCCCGGTGCGATCGCTTCAGCCAGGCTTCGACATTCGCGAATAGTGCGCTTTCGGGTGGAGTTATGAGTAACCTTGCGGGAGGTCTGCTGGGCAGGCTTTTCAAGTAGGGTGTATGCCTTTAAAATAGGATTAAGCTGGGGTTCATACGGGATGTGGACCTCGGGCGGTCTGTTTTGTCTTTGATTTGTTCTTTTGAGTCGGATTGATGAGTGTAGTGGGTTTGTCTGGGGAAGAAGGAGTAGGTTGGCCTAGGGGAGGGGAGCTTTTGTTTTGTCGGTTATACTCTAGTAGCGTTATGGGTTAGATTTTATTGTATTGTATCATTTGTTACTGCTGGTATGTTCAAGACAGCCTCGTAAAAGATATCTGATCAGATGTAGAGTCTGCTTATCGCCGTACACTGGGGGTGTATAGTCCAAACTTCAATAGAACTATCAGTCGCTGAACAATAAGGTCAGCTTTGTATGCCGAATTCCACTGTAAGACTTAAAAGAAAGCATTATCATATCCCATTATCCAGCTGACGCTATACTATATGGTAGGTGCGTCCTCAACAGTCAACTACGCACGATAGAATAATCATCCAACAAACTGTATATTCCTTGCACTCCTCCGTCCCAGGAACCGTCAAGTTCAAAATGACCATCCGCCCTGACGGAACATGAATCCAGTTGGATCATATGCCTTCGCAATGCTTGCCAGTCGCGCCTTATTCGTAGGTCCATAACTGCCATACACATCCTGGTAGTTGGCGGCATCATTCATGAACAGAGGATTCGAACTATCAGAATAAATTAGTCTGCTGCCCAAAACATATAAAGAAACAACACGAAGGAAAGAAGGTGACATACGAGATCCAATCAACATCACCCGACTGATAATTCGTCGGCTTAGTTCCCAACAGCGTGTTATTGAACGCCTCCTTCACAGTATCCCCAACCTCGTGCAAGTAACCAGGACAAGCATCATTGCAAGCCGGGTTGAGCCAGATCAAGTCATTCTCGACCCAGATACGATCACCGTTGGCAGGGTCCAAACCGAGAGCATTACCACCTGCGTTCTGAGAAGCACGAGCAATACGCACCGACAGCGGCTGCGGGGTAAAGGTACCGAGCTGAAGGTCCAAGTTCCGGGAGGAATCATTCTTGATCATAGATTGATACGTAGTCCAATGGGTTTCAAGCAGCTGGGTCATCTGCTGGGACGGCATGTTGGGGAAGGTATTGACGTGAATGGCGGCATTGATGCCGTAGATCTTGGCTCCGCCTGCCGCGTTTGTTATATTGGTGTAGCTTGTGGTATTAGTAGAGTCAGTGAAAGGTTCAATATCTTCCAGTCCGGCAAAGGCGTTGGCGCTGGGCTTGGCTCCGTCGTAGAAGAAGAAAATAGCGGGGTTGGAGATCAGGGCTCCGGGCAGGCCAATTTCGAAGGTCGGGATGATGGCGGCTTTGGCGTCTGGGTATTCACTGGTGAACTTGGAGAGCGCTTCAAATATTTGCTCGCGTTTGTCGGCAGAATAGGAGCGAATGCCACCCCAGACTTGTCCGTTGTCGCCGAGTGGATGGGCCTTGAGTGTGAACTTGGTGACGATGCCAAAGCGGTTGCCGCCACCGCGCAAGGCCCACCAGAGATCTGGGTTGGAATCACTGTTTGCGTTGATTATGGTGCCATTGCCTAGGACTACTTCGAAGTTGACGACGTTGTCGCATGCTAGACCCTGAGGTTGGGTTAGTACTGGGATGTTGGTATGGGGGGATGGGGGTAAGGTAGTACATATTGAGCTGAGTAGTATGACAATCCTCCTCCAGTTGTGAGCCCTGCCACGCCGATATTGGCCAATCGGCCACCTACCACGACTTGATTTGTCTTCTGCGTGACGGCGTAGACATCGCCCCATCGTGCTCCGGGGCCGATGTCGAAACTCTGGCCGTCCGAGTTGCGGGTGGTTGAGGACATGTTCTCATTAAACGAGATAAGAACGCCTCCATTAGTACTGGAAAACCCCACATTGAAGTTGTGTCCACCTCCTTTGAGGGCAAAGGGTGCTGTGGGATACTTGTTTAGCTGCTGAACTGCAACGGAGACCTGTTGCGCGGTTGCCGGGAAGAAGGCGCAGGCTGGACGGTTGTCAGCGTTCACACCGTTCCAGTACTCCTTGACTGCATTGCTGTAGTAGGACTGGTTCCAAAATGTCTCAAGTCCGTAGGTGCCTGTGGGGTCCCAGACGGTGTATTGGGGGTAAGCCGTGTGTAGGTGTTGGCAAACGGACACAGCGTCGGTGTTAGAGGCTGCCAGAACAGGGGCCACTGCGGCCAGAAGAAGAGCAGCTGCTATCATCTTGAACTTGAATAGCTTTGCGGCTTGGGTCATGGGCCATGTCTGGTACAACGAGGTCTTTTGGCCATCTTATATGCGAGGCTCAGGGGGTCCATGCTGAACGGACTTTGTATCATCTGCTGCAATAAATCCTCAAAAAAGGGCAATCTTTCGTGTCGTATTTGCGTATTTGCAATGTTCGATTCTGAAACGGCACGAACGTTGGGACAAAAAATGGGTTGTTTGATGTTGAGACGTTTACCAAGTAGACCAAAAGAGAAAACTCTCTAGTGGTACTGGTATTGCTCAGGTATTTGTTCTAACATTTGATGATCCATCGGGCGGAGGATACTCTTCAGGGACTGTCAACTCATCAGAACGGAGGGGGATCTGCACAAAACTTCGAAACGAAGTCCCAACTTTGAGAGTAACCGAGGATGCACGTGTCTTTCCCGCTGCACCGTGTTTCTAATGAATCAGTACGGAGTACCTTCTCTTATATAGTTCATTGAGGAGGTTTGAGAAGTCTGTTAAGGGGTAAAACGAGAGCAAGTATAGAACATCTCGTGACTTACGCTATTTTCCATGTTGTCAGCTGGGATTCGTCTCTCCTGCTGAGGATACGTCAGATTAGCACTGATTTCTTGGGCCGAGGATTTTATATCCTTCTTGACAGGTTATTGAACATCTGAAAATTCCTCAGAGCCCGGCTTGCATTGGGTGGTGTTCTTTTTTCGATGCTTAACCCTGCATAGCGCTGTGACAAATATCTCGTGTCAAAGCCAAACCAAAGGGTCCCATAATTGTGACTAGCAGTGTCAAAATTTACATATATTTCCGCCGCGATGAATGAAGAAGAAGAGGTGTAATACTCTATGTCAAACACTGGATGCAAGGGGTGTCCCGCCCAAAAATTGAAGCTACAGGGCACGGCTCGGTAGGGTTTGATGCATCCGCAGTGCTTGCAGTGAGAGGGCAGCAGAAAAGTGGTGATTACTTCAGCTCTCCGTAGAACTAACGACACAACAACTTGTTTTCCCATGATCAGAATTCCCGGCATCAGTCGTGGCGCTGATTGAATTGACCACACGTGTTTTACTCCGAACAGAAGGCCAAAATGGACCGAGTCCGTTCGCTGCCTCTCAGAATCATGGAAGCCTGTGTTCAACACCTTGTCTGCGCATATGATTATTATACGCTTGAAACCATGGTCTTTACCACATCCTACTTCACAAGTACTATTACCCCTAACTACATCTGCTGCCGTGATTTGTGGCATCGGAAAGATGGCGACTCCCGCTGCAAAGAAAGCCACACCATCCAAGACTGCATTTGACTTGCGCTCTATCTCCGGCATTGTGTCTTACTCCTCTTCTCTCCATTCTCCCACGCCCACCGGCAGGGCGTCATAACCCACGCTCGAGATTCGAAAACCGTCCGGATGTATGAAACTATAGAAGTCCCTGAGGTAGGGCAAATACTACCAATTAGCTGTTCGCCAGTAGATATCATGAAACAGCCAGGCCCCTTGTATCTCGGCGGGGGCGGGTCAGGAGGGTTACTGATGGTTCTCTGTTCGGCGTTAAGTTGGGCGCTCGCTGAGCATTCTGTAGGTCTTTCATGGTAATTTGGGGGGAGGGCTCCCGACCGTAGCGTCATCGTCCTTTCTACAAGCTGGGTCGCTAACTCGCACTCTTCTGAATTTTGCGATGCGTCAATTTCGCGTATCAGTCTCAACATTGTATCGCCGTCGAGAGTGGAGTTGAACGTTGGGAGCCATCTCCGATATGGCTTGAGAGCCCAAGCAGATAGCCAAAAGAGGAGACGGGTACATTGCTGAGGATCCAGTCAGCATAAGAGTGCTCATATCAGGTGGAGAACAGATAGTTAGTATCTGGGTTAGACAAGAAGACTTATGGCTACACCCTTTTCTGCTTGCTGGAATTGACCTAGTCAGGACCCCCAAGTCAGACACCCTGACATTGGTTTACCAAGTATAGACAGTTACTTCGACTAGTTCAGGGTTTGTGGCGCGCCAGACCATGAATAAATTGTGTTGCCAGTGTTGGAAGCGGGGACAAAACCATATGGTGGTGAACGGCTCTCACAATTGTGATTCCTCCTTTAGTAATCAGCCTGGAAGTTCCCATGAAAGTATTATCTTCCTTGTTTTCGTCCAGTCCCGATAGATGTATATCTTACGTCCGCGATAGTATGACTTCTCAGCATACACTCGACCAGATCTGGTACAGGGAACTATCCCCGAATGACGAATCTTCTGGACAACATTGACATGGTAACTATGATCTTTACTTGGAAAGCTCATCTATTGGCTACTCGACATCATTGATAAGTTCAGCTCTATCATTGTAGATGATTCTTCGAGAAGAGAGATTCGGCGTCTCGGTGAAGATTCATTGCCGGGTGATGCCCTAAAACCCAGGTATTTCACACATCGCACGGTTGCCAAACCAGATATGCTACCTGGATACCATAATCTGCCACTGGCAAATTTCCACATTGGCAAGGTTTGAGTTAATGATCGATAACAGGACGGTTCGTCTCAGGCCTCCACTCTGGATCACTAGTCTCAAAACATACAAGCGCTTATCTCTTAGTCACCTAATCTTGGCTAGTTAATTAGTTTATCGATTGATTTGACTACAGGCGAACTGAAATCTGAAATCCTCAACTTCACGAAGTCCAATTGTCATCTACAAACTACACACAAGTCAAATTTCACAGTCACTATCGCGAACTTTGAGATGTCACAGAATACACCGGCCACAGTACAGGAGCTGCGCCTGGGCACCCGCAATTCCAAATTGGCATTAGTACAAGCAGAACACGTTTCCAAGGAATTGACCCTTGCTCACCCCGGTGTCCAGTTTCCCTGGCAAACCGTGGTGGTCCGCGGTGATGTTGACAAGAGCAGTCCTTTTTTGAAATTTGCAGGACCATCTGATGCAGCAAAGAACATTTGGACCGAAGAGATGGAAACCAAGCTGTGCGCAGGAGAGCTGGACCTCCTCGTGCATTGCCTGAAAGATATGCCGACGCGCCTACCAGAGAACTGCACACTGGGGGCTATTGTTTATCGGGAGGATCCCACCGATGCGTTGGTGATGAAGGAGGGGCTGCGGTCGCAGTATACGGATCTGAGTCAATTGCCCCCCGGCTCCGTGGTGGGCACTAGTTCCACTAGACGGAAAGCCCTACTTCGATACAGATACCCACACTTGAAAGTGGAGGAATGCCGTGGCAATCTGTAAGAACACTGTCCCTTACTGTCCCTGATACTTGACTTTTTTCTGACTTGGCCTGGCAGCGGAACGCGACTGCGTAAGCTAGATGACCCAGAAGGTCCATTTTCAGCAATCATCCTGGCCACGGCTGGTATGGTCCGCATTAATCTAGAAGACCGCATCACTAAGCGCTTGCCTCCCTCGGAATTCCCGTATGCTGTCGGTCAGGGCGCCCTGGGCATTGAAATCCGCAAGCAGGATATCCAGACAGAGACCATGGTGCGCAAAATCGAAGACCTGCTTACCAGACGGATCTGTTTGGCAGAGCGCTCACTGCTGCGCACTCTTCAGGGTGGCTGCTCGTCTCCGGTTGCAGTACAATGTACTGTTGAGCAGCCACCGACAGCTTCCTCGGCAGCTCGATTGCAACTAGATGGTATTATTATTCATCCCTATGGGACAACATTGCTATCCGAACGGACGACAGCGGAAGTGGGAACGGATGAGGATGCTGAGGCGCTGGGTGCTACAGTGGCTCAGCTTTTGTTGAAAAATGGCGGGCAAGCTTTATTGGAAGAAATTCGGTTGCTACAAGAAACGATATCGACCGACGCAAAATAGTGGAGGACCTGAATATGTACCACTAACTAATAGAAACAATCCCCACTCCATGTACATTGCTACGGCTGTTAAGCTTCGCGCTATCTAATACCTAGGCTCTAGCTGTTAGAAGGATTCTCCCACCTACCGGAATGGTACCCTTGGAGGCCTAAAATAGCGCCGGCTTGAGAATATTGGGCATCGTCTTGCCCTCATGAGCAGCAATTAAAGAGCTCATAGGCACCTCGCGACATAACTCAAGTACAAAATCGATAAGGACCGGACGTGTGGCACACCAGTGGATGTATTTCCCGACTACATTGAACACTCACCATAGGGTGTTTTGCTTAGTTTCTGACAAATGCATGACTGCTTTCCTTCAACCCTCGCAATATAACGCTTCACCGAAATCAAATATGACGAGTGAAGTAAAGAAAATCCTATTATGTGGGACTCTCCTCGCTTCCTTACTCGAATTTTATCACAGTCAATTTCGCTAGGGTCACTCTGTTTACACCCATCAATCTGCCGGTATCTCGACAGCAGTTTCGATGCACATTTACTTCAATTCCCAGAGTCCGTCCGCTCAGGAAACCAAATATGTGGACGTCCTTGCATCACGTATCTTTCGTTCTCTGATTTCCACCTTCATCTTTCTAAGAACAACAAAGTCTGTGGAATGGAATGTGCGTGGCAAGGACTTGCTTCCAAAGCATGTACCAGGCTTTCGGCTTATAAAACGTCTTTTGCCATCGAGGCTAAGAAATTGACCTGGCAAGCGATCGATGCAAGATAGAATCCGTGCTACTTTCAGCAGTTGAGGATGACGATCCTGAGTTGGTCACTCTTCTAGTTAATAAAGACGGGCATCGGTCGGGATGATTGTACAATTCTTACTTGGGCCGCCAAGAAGGGATACAAAGATTGGTGCAACAGCTTATTCACTATGGTGCGGACGTCGATTTGCAGGATAATGAACGTTGGACTGCACTTGCTCAGGCTGCAAAATATGGTCATGACTCCGTCGTCAGACTACTAATCGAGTGTACTTCCTACATTGATTTTCCTAAAGACTACTTTACGCCCCTTCAAGTTGCTGCAGTCAACGGGAAAGATAACATGGTGGAAAGTCTCATTCAGCAAGGCGCAGATGTTAATCTCCCTTACGAACAGTTTACGCCCCTTCAACTTGCTACAGCGAATGGGAGAAAGAGCACAGTCAGAATTCTCCTTCAGCATGGAGCGAGCGTCATACATTCAAGTCTGGCACCCGATTCACTTGAGACCGGATATCATCTAGGGGATTAAGTGTTGAAGCAGCTGAGCCCAGGAGGGGGCTCTCCAATGGATATTCGAGGCATCGAAGGTCGCGCACATTTGAGCAGGGCCGTAGAGATAAGTCTTATGGCTAGAGTCAATAACGAAGAGCCGCGACTAGTCTGCGGCGTCCTTTCAGTAGACTAATATGATCATTACGAGTTAGTCCCGACTTTTGGGGCTATGAAGCCGGTCGAAACGCATGCGAGACTGATGGTGCAAATGCTGTTGCCTTGGCCGTCCGGCATGGTTATTCAACTATTTCACGGCTTCTATGTGCCAGCTCTGCTTATCAGAGAAGTCTATAGCAGTTTCAAAGTTGTTAGCACACACTGAACCTAGCCGTGTCAATTGGAACGTTTGCTCAATGAGGTGCTCTGCTGTTCTATTATGTTCCGTGAGGCTATTTTGATGTATACTACAACATTTCCTGCTTGAAATAGACAGCGCCCTGGGTTGAGTTATCAATTCTGTGTAACATTCGTTCTATTGTATAGAATATTGCTGGGCGAACGGGCACGCCAGAAATAATATAGAGAGCAGCCTGGTTTTTCTTGGGTGGGAAACTGGGTTTAAAAGGTCGAATGATAGCATAATACAGGAAATTCAAGAAGCAGAACCCAGATAAGCCTCCAAGAATACCTGAATTCAGCCGGCGGTGAACAGCCTATAGGAATTGTAGTAGATCTGGAAATCGTGCGAGAACCCCATTCAAATTTGGTTCACGGTCTTGTATTTTTGAATCCTACCCTTAACACAGCAGTTGAGAAACCAGAAATCTGTTATCTGCGAGCGTGCGCGTGGGAACTTCCATTCGAGGACCAGTTCAAGCTTCAGCAGTTTTCAGCTTCATTTACAAGGCTGCAACAACAATCCTGCGCCTGCAAGGCTGAGTGCTCCTGGAGGTGTTATCTCATCCTCTGAAACCGTCCAATGCATGAATGAGGTCTAATCGCAGCGCTTATGCAAGTCGCCAGAACTGTCATTTTGGCTTGCGCAGGGGTGGAAAGCCAACGGCCGCTGCTCCTAATGCACCTTCGCTGCGCCGCATTGCTTCCTTAGCGTGCTTTTTCATTGCGCTATCTCAGAGAAAGTGTCCGTTGGAAAGAGTCGGTGAAAGGCAGATACGACATCTCTGTCTGGACCAATCAGGGTTATAATATTCAACTTGTAGTATTTCTAACTGGAGGTGGGAGTGAGATTTACTAGGGGTATTCACCGACGGAGAGTGAACCGCGCGGTGAGGGAGCTTGCTACCGCGTATTCTATCTATCGAAAGGTATCTCTGATTGCGAATTTCCACCTCAACACAACAGGGATCCTGGTTCCTGGTTTTTCAAACTGAGCTCAACTTCAGTTCTGCCTGTCGTGGCGCTTGATTCAGCCTCGCCGAAAGCCTTATTTCACCCCACTTGCCTTGGAAGTTCTGAGACATCTTCATTGTAATACCTTCTTTTCTTGCCTTCAATTCAGCTTTACAATTATTTCTTGCCTCGTTTACTTATCTTCAAGCAATTTCCTTCATTTTCTGTTGCCATAATCCTCATGCTGACCTTCTCGCGCAAACCTAGAAAGCCCAGAGCACGCATGAAGACCGGCGGTACCTGGAATGATGAAGAGAAACAGCGCTTCTGGGATCAGCGAACAATGTACAGTCACATGCCCTGGAAGGAATTTCGCAAGGTGGGCATAGATTGTTCCTTCCCCTTTATTTATTATCCAGGCCCTCTACCCACAGTGATATACTTACTCTACGCAGCAGTTCTTCCCCCATAGAAGCCAAAACGCCCTAGAGAAGGCCTATTCCGTATGTCCCATTTGCTCCCACTGCCAGGACCTATCTGACCCCATAACAGATTATGAGTATACAGAGAAGACGCGAAGCCAACATTGTAAGTTTGGCTTAATCCACCTCTATATTGATAGCTGTCGTACTGATTTCAAAGTCAAACCCTGATACCCCTCGGGATCCTCCTCCAGCCCGCATTGTAACGCTACGAACTAGAAGCAATAAGCGTTCACTGCCCGACGAAATGGCGCCTGGGAATCGTCCAGAGAAGCAGACCCGAACAGCTGCGGTCCTTTCGTCGGGACAGGACCAAGTGGAAGAAACGGATCAAAACAATTTGACAGACGAGGATACGTCTTCGGACTATGAACAGGACTCCGACGAAGAGACACTTCAGGGGCCCAGTATACCGTGTGAAAGAGAATGTCTAGATGGAATCGAGACAATCGTCATCGATGATACGAACAATGCTCCTGAAAGCCACCAAAACGGCGAAGAAGATGCAGGGGTAGGCAGATCTGACGCCCAAGGAGATACTGATATGCCTGACTCTCGCCCTAACGGAAGTGTAAGATACACATGCTCACAAGTCTTGCGTCGTTAAACTTACTGACACATTCCAGTCGGGCGTGTCTAGCAATAAAACCCCTCCTGCAGGCCCCATGCCTGGACGAACAAGCATGACACCAAGTTCAAGAAGTGGAGAAAGTCAACAAGGCCACCAGAGAAGTACAAAAGAGGCGACTGAGCCTACTAGGCCTTCCCTCCCATCGGACGTGCAATATCTCAAAAACCTCATATGGAGGTTCGAAACTACATTTTTCAAAAACAATGATCAGGAGAAAGTTATCGCCGCGCTGCAATGTCAGATTGAAGATCTCAAAAGGATCAATTCAGATAAGACCGCCAAGCTGGAGTCCGCACAAGAGGAGAGTAGGAGACATACCCAGACCATCAAATCCCTTGAACAACGTGAGCAGAAGTATAGAAAGGAGATTTATGAATTGAAAAACAAGCTCGTACTTTCTGACCAGCGAGCTACAATCTTCGAGCGCAAGGTAGCTGTGGCTCGAAGCATGAACAAATGTGAAACGTGTCTGAGGGTCGCCAAGATCGTGAACGCGGACGCCGATGAGTCTTCTAAGGGCCCACGATCATGAACGCACCCAGCTTGTATGTTTCAATATATATTCGGATTGTTTATTTTCCTTTCCTTTCTCATACCGCTGTGGGTCTCTATCCATGCATGGTCTCACCTTTTACTTTAGCATTCACCCGAACTTTTAGCATTAGATATATAGGTCTTAATATATGATATTACCACGTCCCCTTTTCCCCTACGATCATGGTAAGAGGCTGCTAGCTGTTGGTCCGGGTTCCCACGACAATTGCTCCCTATACTCGAAAAATTCTCTGTCAAGACTCGATGAATTCCACCATGCCTAGAGGGGCGCAGAGCGCCCAGTGATAGTACTTTATACGTTAGTGCAGCCACTGCCAGTCGTGTAGACTCTTAACACAACCCCTGTGATCCCCTGACATTCTCCCGCTACCTACAGTCATTAATTCAGGTTCCAGTCCTTATCAACTTTTGGTACGACAAAAAAAAGTCCCATACCGAACTAGAACTATGTGTAACTCATTCACAAAGCGGAATGCTCGAAAAGATATCCAAAAACAACTGAGCTTGCTCTGACCCTTCGTGCCGACTACATTGATTGAAAAATTCCTCTGTTGGGAGCTTGATATGCTGGAAAATGAAATCGGTGGTCAATGTGTCTAACGGATTACGTGCATGCTCTTGAGGCTCGTTGACTACAGGTATGTTTAGTACGCAATAGTCTGTATAAGGTGTTTCAAGGGAGAGTTAACATACCAAGGGCGTCGAACACTACAAGTAACCTTTGAATACAGTAATCCGCCTTCTGATTCACGATGCTTCCTCTACTGATATTTCTCATGGTGCGGAGGCAGGCTTCTATTTCCTGGCGGATCTGGGTTGGCGTCGGCTCCGAATCTAAGGGGTATTGCTGGCGGACGAGGAATATTGCTAGGCAGTGAAGGATGGCTGTGAATACTAGAGATATTTTAGCACGTTGGTATATGAAGTGGGGTTTTATTGGGAAAAGACAAACTTGTATAGTTGCATGTATACCATGATGCGTACATGTCTATAACCCCCTGGAGTGTGGAAATGTGTGATATCAGACGCTGCACTTCTTGTATTGCGAGCCAGTCTTCTTGGAGGATTTGGGAGCAACTGCGCTGAAAAATTTGCCGAGTACGGTCTCCAAGCGATTTCGTTGAGTCGGGCTCTAAGAAATTCAGTAGTAATGGGAAGTTCATGGTCAATTCCAGCCTATGGTATTGTAAGCATAGGAGTACTCGTACGGCCCAGCGAGCATCTGGGCTCGCTGATTTTTTCAGTAATTCTTCACTCGGGAGCAGGGAAATGCACTCAGGATGACTGTCGGCCCATTGTTCGAGGTGGAATTGTAGATTATCACGCTTGTTAATGGCGGTCTGTATATTGAGAGACTGGCCCGAGTCCAAATTTTGATCGTACAGTGTTTCGATGATGCCGTCCAGGAGTGTGTTAGAGGATCTTTACGAAGTAAGCATGTGTAGTTTCAAATCCTTTGGGGTTAACTGACATCATCTGAAACAGATAAAGGGAACTTATATCCCCTGGTATTGCGGGCTGTTTCAGTTCGCAGGTCTTTTCAATGGAGTAAGGTATAAGATACGGTCTCCCTTGGGTTAACCCCATAGTTCTACTAAAGTCAGATCTGCCATTTGGCTGAATATGGTAGTCACAAGTGTGGGTGCGAACAAAGCTGAAAATAAATTTTGCATCAACCTACCTATCGTTATACACAATTCCCAACCACAATTTTCGATGCAGACTGTCAGGTGTATGTCCATGAGCATCCCGAACAGAGGCACAATGAAAGCCCATCTGCAATGCCGCTCTGACACAGTTTGTATGGGTCGTATAACTCGATGTAGACCTTTGATGATTCTGCTCGTAGAAAGACTTTAGCAGTGATGTCTGGACTGCATTACTGTCAACTCAGGTAAAGCATTGGAAAAGCATGAATAGCTCACCTAGTTCAAAAGTTGGTCTCTCCAATGTTCGCTGGTCGAGAAGGCCTGCGCAATGACTGTAGAATACCTCTGCCTCCGGAAGCTGCAGGGACGCAGATGCATGTGCCCAAATCACATTCAGAAGAGCCAAAAAGCCCCTTTGGAACCTTGGATGCCTTTCAAGAAGAGCTTTCTCATAGGTATTTAACAAGGATTCATAGTTGACATATGGAAGGATGACACCGATTGTTGTGGAAAAGCGACTAACAAGGTACAGTACCTCATCTCTAGACGGAAGGGCGTGTATATCTTCCAGAGGTATGGAGAATTGCTTTACTAATGGTGGTTCCTTTCTAGTTGAATTCCTCTTTCCTTCTGTTATGCTGCAGCTTTGAATAGCGGTAGATGCATGACTGCTTAGCGTCAGGTGTAGGAGAGCGCTTTCTGCGAATGCGTTCGAGATGAGTCTAAACATGGCGTAGTTCGAACTAGACCCTACCTCAGACAATCAGATTGTCTGGTGTTTATGTTAGAAGGCTACCTACCAAAGTAGACATGGCCAAGAGATGTCTCAGAGAATGCGTGTGTGGCAAGCTCATCAACACTCGTATCTTCGCTCACTGTTTTCCCAACTGATGAACCTGGTGAATGTATTTGCGATCCGGTTCTATGACCGAATTTATCCTCCAGTATCTCAATCCGGTGAGCTAAGCCCTGCTGGTCTCTATCTAACGAAGATTAGCATCTTTCTTTTCTCCAGGATCTCACGCAGCTTGACCTCTTAACCTTTGGATGTCGAGTACCAGACCTTGTAGGCTGCTGATAGTTGCATTTTCTCCTCCTATGCTGACATCGTGCACACACCGGCCTTGTTCCCTCACACTACCAATGTCAGTCTTCCATATCCGGATTTGGCTTTCTCACGGGGGATGCACGAGTAGATACCTTTAACTTCCTGTATCGGCATTCCGAACATGCAATCTCAGTTCGTCTTCTGCGATGTGGGCGACCTGACATGGTAACAGTTTTCCCGGATGATGCCATTCAGATTAGTGAAGGATCGAAGCAAAGCATTCTCATCTCAACGATAGTTTAGTGTCCTGTATAATGCGGGGAAATTCCCCACCCACTCTCGTTCACCTCCTCTGGACCAATCGGCTTCGCGCTTCCCGAACTTTGCCGAAGGTATCCCCCATTGGGGTGTAAGACATGAAAGAGTATCACGATGATTCGTATTATGGCTCAATTTTGCAATTAGAGAAAGCCATTCGGATAGCTGGCCTCGGTTATAGAAGCTAATGATGATTGACATTGTTTCCATGTTGAGTAGACAAAAATATATAAAGCCAGCAGAATGAAACCATGGTGTATACCATTGACCATCGCGACTACTTCTTTACATTTAATTTGAAATACAAACCACACAGCTTGAAAATGACCATCCTCATACACATCCTTACGTCTACTCCCATGACCAGCGCTGGTGTCTTCATGGCACTCACTCTCACTATTTACTCTATTTACCAACGATACCTACACCCCCTTGCCAAATACCCCGGTCCATTCCTAGCATGCCTGACCGACCTCTGGCAGGTTTACCAATTTCTGACCCTCAAGCAACCATACAACTTAACAGAGCTCCATGCCAAGTATGGACCAATTGTCCGGTACGGACCAGACAAACTCAGCATAACCAACGAAGGGGCTATCCAAGCAATTTATCAGAAAGGTGGAAGAGGAATGCCAAAGACGGAATTCTATGATGCATACGGCGCAGCTCATCCGAATGTATTCGGTATGCGAAATGAAGAAGTAAGTCTGGTTCATGTTCTATGTTAACAACTGCCGGAAGAGATCTCTAAATGTGATTAGCAACACTCCATCCGCAGACGCCACATGTCTCACGGGTTCTCGATGAGCTATGTGAAAGAGATGGAACAATACTTGGACATTAATATTCAAATCTTGAGAGACAAGATCAGAGAGCATAGTGCTCAAAATAAGACGTTCGACCTGAAAAAGGCCCTGCATTATTACGTGATCGACGTCCTTGGTGAGCTGGCCTTTAGTCAATCATTCGGGGTCCAGGAGACGGATGATGAGACACGAGTCCCGCCAGTCATCGAACATAGTCTGCTTGCCGCTGTCACTGGTGCCTGGCCTGCTATGACAGCAACACTGAAGAAATATCTTCCACTTGTTCCATACAAGCCCCTTCAACAGCTCTTTGCTGGCCGCAAAGCTTGTGCGGATCTCGCGTCAGTGTGTGTTCAACGTAGGTTGGCGGATTTTGGTGGAGATAGGATGTCCAAAAGCGACGATAGGAAGGACGTCCTAACAAATCTGATTTTGGCTAAGCATCCTGATACTGGTGAGCATCTTACACAGACGGATCTTGAGACTGAGGCTTTTGGGTTAATGTACGTCTCTCTTTCGTTCTTCTTCCTAGTTCTTATGATGTGTCGGCCACCAGATGCTAAATGAACCTACAGTATTGCGGGGACACATACTACAAGTGCCACGACAACTCTGTTGTTTTACCATCTGCTTCATAACCCCCAGTATATGGAGGAGTGCGTAAAGGAGATCGAGGCCAATCTGCCTCCTCTTACACACGGAAAGACAGCCTATTCTGTATCCGCTGCAGAGGCCGCCCTACCGTTCTTGCGCAACTGCATAAGGGAGAATTTCCGGATTACGCCGGTCTTCACGATGCCTCTAGCTCGGAGAGTGATGAATTCAACGGGTGTTGTAATAGAAGGACAGCATATACCACAAGGGGTAAGCCACTTTATAAGACTATGACTACGAAGTAGTCTACAATGCTAATGAGTATGCAATAATCGCAGACATCAATCGCTGTCTGCAACCATGCATTCCATCACAATCCTGACGTCTGGGGTGACGATCACAACATCTTCAATCCTTTCCGATGGGAGAACCCTGAGATTGCTGCCAAGGTACGGCTGCTAATGCATTTTGGCCTTGGTGGACGTCAATGCATTGGGAAGACTATTGCGATGACGAATATTTATAAACTGATGAGCACATTGTTGAGGGAGTTTGCTTTTGAACTTGCTGACAAGCAGGTTCAGGAGAAGCGCCAATCTAGCGGGGACATTCCGGAGTTGATTAGTGTTGGAATTAGCGATCTAAAGGAGCCCTTGATGGTCAGAGCGCATGTGCGGGTGGGGTGCATGAGAAAGTTTAGCAAGAGCATGATTGTGAAATCCCCGGGCCCATAATTCCTCACGACCAATAAACAATGTCCCGCAGAGGCTGTAGACGGACTTACTTGCCGGGACACGTGTCGAGCACAATTGCAATTCACTGTGGCGTTCTGCTAGACTCCAACCGAATACTTTCGTAATTACTCTCTAAGAGTACTATGTGTTAAGTCTTCATCGGGTGAGGATGGGCAACCGTACGTCGGAATTTCCGAGGAATACGAGCGCGGATGGCCTAGCGCATTGGCGCAATAAGAACCGCGGTCTGATACCTGCTAAGACAGTTAGTACCACGCATAGCTACCCAGTATCATGGCAAATCAGACGTGAGCTTGCCGTAGGGTCCGGGGGGTCGGCAGTTCGCTGCGGGGAAATTAGCTTGGCGGGTGTGAAGATCCGGGGTACAGGTCGGCTAAATATTTAGGCCCTTTTCTATATTAAGTGACGGGTTTGGGGCTCAGACAGGGGGTCATAATGTCCTTAACTCGGGTGTATTCCTCAACTGATCCATTAAAACGGCATAGCAAGATGGAAAAGCCCGGCGTTCAGCATGTTGAGAATGATGATGGTGATGAGAACCTCGCCGTCAAAAGAAGCAATGACCCTGATTTAGAGGCATTCAATGCGTCTCCTGGTGGCTCAGATGCTTTGACGGAAGATCATCGCCAATATTTGATTCAGAGATATGGAACGGTAGAACTGGATCCTATCCCGGACATGACTGACGCTGATCCCTATAATTGGCCGACATGGAAGGTAAGTTCTCCCTTATGCCAAGACAAATTCCAGAAATTGTTATTGACAGGGCCTTCGGTGTAGAAAGTCATCAACTTAGCTCTAGTTGCGTTCCACGCTATGATGGCAACTTTTTCGGCGTCTTCAATCCAATCCGCCTTCGTTGAGATAGCAGAGGACCTTGGTGTCAGCGTACAAAGAGCAAGCTACTTGACTTCCCTAGTCATTGCCATTCTCGGGGGTGCGCCTCTTTTCTGGATGCCATTGTCCAACCGCTATGGTCGACGTCCCATATTCCTGCTTTCGCTGCTCTGCAGTCTGGTTGCTAATGTGGGCTGCGCCAAAAGTCCGTCATATGCGACTATGGGATTTTGCCGGGCCCTTGTTGCCTTTTTTATAAGTCCTGCCGCTGCTATTGGTAGTGCTGTCGTCGCCGAGACTTTTTTCAAGAAAGACCGCGCAAGATGTATGGGCGTGTGGGCCGTCATGGTAACTTTGGGTGTGCCGCTTGCACCTCTGCTTTTTGGGTTCGTTACTAGTCGTGTGGGATACCGGTGGATCTACTGGATATTGGCTATCGTGAGTATGAGCGTCATCAAGATTAAAGAGGGATGCTAACCATACCAGACCAACGGCGTTCAATTCGTCACATACCTGAACTTCGGCCAAGAAACTCTCTACATCCGTGGTAGCCCTGCTCGTCACGTCAGTAATCCAACCCTTCGCCAACGATTCCTTGATGTGAAGCGTATTGATCCGACGCCCTTGGAAATATGGGACTTTTTACGCCCCATCCGCATGGCAACACGGCCCTGTGTAATGATTCCAGCCGCCGCTTATGCGATGATATTCCTCCTCGGTGGTATCCTCCCATCAATTGAGATGCCGCAACTCTTCCCCGAGATGTTCGGACTTGACTCGGAGCAGGTGGGCCTGCAGTTTATTGCGATGATTATCGGTTCTCTGCTTGGCGATCAGGTCGGAGGATTCTTATCCGACCGTTGGATGCTGTACGGGCGGAAGAAAACGCAGCGGGCCGTTGCACCGGAATTCAGACTCTGGATAAGCTATCCGGGTATTGTTCTGACGATAGTTGGCATTGTTATCTTCCTTGTCCAGCTAGATCATGCTTCATCGAAGTGGAATATCACTCCGTTGGTTGGGGTCACCATTGGGTCTATTGGAAACCAAATCGTCACTACCGTCAGCTTCACGTATGCCGTGGATTGTTATCGATCAGAAGCAGCAAGCGTTGGTGTTTTTATCACGTTGGTGCGACAGACGTGGGGATTCATAGGACCCTTCTGGTAAGTCTTCTGTGTTTTGGGAGGTGTGGGTATACTGACAGTAGTCCAGGTTTCCGCAAATGTTGGAGAATGTTGGGTATCTAGGGAGTACGGGGATTGCGATTGCCTTGATCGTAGCTGTTAGTGCCATTTCAATGGCTCTGTTGCATTGGAAGGGGAAGGCTTGGAGGTAGAAAAACAGGATAGCTAATGGCTTATCTCATCGTTAAGTCCCGCTGGTTACTCAGTCAGCCTCATATTCCGTTCAGTTTACCCATTAGCAACTGTCAAATATCCTGACGCATCTCTTGAGCAATTGCTGGATATATATAGTTTTCAGTCAATTGATTTAATGTGAGATAGTACTTGCTACTATAAGCCTGGGGGGAAAAGGCGAGGGCCTTACGGCTTGCAAGCACCGGGAATGTTTGATATCCAAGTGTATGACCATTGCCAGTGGGCCCTTTTGGAAATCAGTATCCTAAATTGGATCACCTGTAGCTAGTAGTTTGAAAATCTCCTCTCATGTCTATTTTGAAGGATCATCAAACTTTTATGATAAACTATATCTTGCATACTAAGCATATCTTAGTTCCTAGTGTTAATAGTTGTGGATATAGCAGATTTCCTGTGCGTTCATGATGAAAGCACTGATTATCGGAGAAACATTTACGCGAGATCACCTCCAATCAAGCCGCTAGTAGGCTCTGTTAATGGCTGTTAATCGAAATTATCATAATAGTGTTCTGGACGTGGATGGTGGGCCTAGGTGGCGTTCTTATTGAAGAAAACGGCGCTAGCATATTCACGAAGATGTTTTGACAATCCACAACTTTTCACTTGAACTATACAGATGTTCCTGTACAACTAACATTCATTCAAAGTCTATACTAAATGATACCTTTAGACTAAAGTAACAGTTCACAAGTTTTTCCTAGCTCTTTTGCGTTGCTATTGTTATCTCGTAACATCTTCGAATCCCAAGTTTTATGACTACTTGACTGATAGGTAAGTATATGTGGTTGTAGGGGTCTATAAGCTGTACTACCTTCGATCTTTGGTGTTACTCGCTTATTCTTCATGCAATCCATTGGCAGGGAATCAATAGCTATCCCTGGGTTCCACAAGACTAAGCCATGATCGCTTCGTTTGCTCATAAATGGAGAAAGCCGTGAATTGGCTGACCTGTTACCCTATTTGCTCCTCTCTTTTGCAAGCTCTCAAAAAGGCCCCGCTTCCTTGTCTCCCTTTTTCTATATCTCCTGTTCGCCTCTTCCGTCTTCCTTCCTTCTCCCCACTCCCTACTTTGTATCACGGCTCTGGTAGTAGTTCTTTGCAGACAACTAGGCTGAAGGATCCTACGCCGCGTGCCATCAATATGTAAGTGTCATATCCTTTTCTTGAAAATAGATCTTTTCATCCACTTTGTCTATCAAAAACTGTTTCTATCCTGTATACCGAACGCGTCCACGCGTTGTTATCGATTGGAATGGACTACCAACAGACTAACAACACCAGTGCACCGATACCCATCTAGCTTCCATCAACTACAGACTCTGCTCTCAAGATGGCCGGCTGGACGCTCGAAGGAGATGGAGATGACAATGGCACCTGGGGTGGTGGCAATGACGCTGGTACGTGTCCTCTTGGAAACAAGTCCCTTTTCCCAAGGACAGCATGTGCTCAATCATGTTCGACCAAATCATGAAGTTTCAAGATATTAAGAGATAAGACAGGTTTCAGTAATGATGAGAACGCTAGGCCTGGTGGCTTCGGTACTGAACCCGGATACGGTGGTGATGACTTTGCTCCTGCGGCTGAAGGCCATGGCGATGATAATCGGTGCCGGAAGTAAGTAGCTTCCTACAGATCCTCACTGTCGCTAACAGGAGATAGCTGTGGAAGTGACGGTCACTTTGCTCGCAACTGTCCCGAACCGCGTAAGGACATGGCATGCTTCAATTGCGGCGAGGACGGGTATAATCATCCATGTGCCTTTCCAATACATTTCTTTCTCTGACATGAGTTAGACATAACAGGTCTGAGTGCACTAAACCTCGTATTTTCAAGGGTGCTTGCCGTATCTGCAACAAGGAAGGGCATCCAGCCGCTGAATGCCCTGAAAAGGCTCCCGACGTGTGCAAGAATTGCAAGATGGAAGGTATGGCATACCGCATGCTCTAATAGGATGCATGTGCTAACAGCTCGTGAAGGTCACAAGACTATGGACTGCAAGGAAAACCGTCGGTTTGATCTGAACCACATTCCTGACAAGCTCCCCGAGGAGGCTTGGGCCATTCTGAAGAAAGCCAGTGACGAAAGAGATCTCGAAGATTTCCGTGAGGTAGGAAGCACTTACTTCGGATGCGACCCTGTGCTCATTCACAAGTACTAACGTTGCACAGGGACTGAAGGTGTACTCCAAGTCTCTTCCGCAGGCCACTTTCGTGGACATCGAAAACAAATTGCGTGAAGAGGACCTTAATTTTTACCTTATTGCACTGGTAAGACAGAACATTCGTCTTCCCTGCACGCTGAAGCCCTAATAAGCACGCACGCTGACTCTATGGCCCCGTCTAGGACAAGGAGGTTAATGATTGTATCAGCCTCATTGATCTTCAGGGGAAGCTGAACTGCACATACGTGGTCGGCTTTTTCTATAGCCCCAAGCCGCAGCGCGCCAACCTCAGAGAACGCTGGCCGTCTTCCGTCGAGGAAAATCTTGAACGTCTTGCTGACGCCGGTCTGCCTTACGATCGACAGGTTCCCAAGTGCAACAACTGCGGCGGTACGCTACAAACTGTACCCCCATTTCTTTCTATAAGCTAACGGCTTGTAGCATTGGGTCACACTTTTCGTGGCTGTAAGAAGGAGCGAGAGGAGCGTGAGCGTGTCGGCGTCAAATGCGTCAACTGCAGTGCTGATGGACATCGTGCTCGCGATTGCCCTGAGCCACGGCGCAATGTTTTTGCTTGTCGTAACTGCGGGTAAGCTCACTTTACAAGACTTGAGAGTGCTTTACTGACGATAGCAAGCTCGGAGGACCACAAGGCATCAGAATGCCCCAACCCTCGCTCTGCAGAGAACGTTGAATGCAAGCGATGCAACGAGAGCAAGTCTCCAGCATGTCAGATACTCCTTTGCTACATACTGACTGTATAATCTAGTGGGACATTTCGCGAAGGATTGTCCTCAGAAACCGCCTCCCAGAACCTGCCGCAACTGCGGGTAAGTTTGAAAGAGCTATTCCATTGACTCATCTACGTCTCCTAACGAAGCAGATCCGAGGACCACGTTGCGAAAGAATGTGACAAGCCGCGCGATGTCTCTACTGTTACCTGCCGTAACTGTGATGAGGGTAAATCCCGAAGACATTACCCCAGATCTCTACCGTCCAGACTGCTAATACTCATTTACAGTCGGACACTTCAGTCGTGACTGCCCCAAGAAGCGAGACTATTCCCGCGTCAAGTGCAACAACTGTGGTGAAAGTAAGGATGCTCCCCCGGTAAAAATGATTTTCTACAAAGCACGCTCTAACCTAATTACGCCCGTCTATAGTGGGCCATACCATCAAGCGTTGCCCTACCGCCAATGCCACCGAGGACGCCCCTCACGACGACAGCCACAGTCTGTACGCGCCTGTTAACGACGAGTGGAATGAAAACGGAGGAACTCAGTGGAACGCCAATGGGGGAACTGAGTGGAACGATAACGGCGGAACTCAACAGGAAAGTGCCCCAGCCGAGGAAGGTGAATGGAATGTTGGTTCCGCTCCTGGTTGGTAGAAGAAGGACATGGCAAGCAAAGTCGATCAACGCATGGTGCATGAGGCGTCGATCACAATCGTCTGGAACGATGTCGGATACCTTTGCACGCGTGTTACTCGGTCACTTGCATGCTTATCTCTCTTCTCGGACAGCAACCAGTTGGCCTTCCATGGTGGGTGATGTCTGTTGAGGGTCTAGCTTTGATATGTGTTCATACCGGCTGGTTCGGGTAAATCTCCCCTCGCTATTTTCTTTCCTTTACTTGCAGAATTCGCTCGGAAGACGGAACCGTTCCTGCTTGTCTTTGTTTGATGAGCGGAGGGATCTGTCAGGCCGTTTGACCTGTAGGGTAGTTCGAAAAAAAAAGTTGATTCGAAATACGTTGTTGCTTCCTTAGTGTGCTGTGAACGTAGCTTAAGTACAAATCATCTTATATAGAGTATCAAGCCAAGTTCCACCATCATATATGATATCCACACTAACTCATACCCATGAATTAAATAGAAAACCACACATCAAACAAAAATAAACCCGGAAATAGTATCATCAACTGCACACAAAAGAACACGATTACACATTAAATATCCCCACCACCAACCACCCTAACTTACCTTCTAACCCTCCTCCTCCTCCACCACATCACAACCTTCTCCCAAGCCCCCAACCTCCACCTCCTCCCCCAAAAGACATGATAAACCAACACAGCAACCCCAAGATTAAACCCCACAAAAGCCCACCCGACGCCAAAGTCCATCCATCTCCGATCAAACCGATACTCCCTCTCCGCGAGGAACTGGTCCGCATTTGAATATGGACAATACTCACAGCTCGTCATCGCCTCCGGATTCATCAACCGCCCGGGCACTGTCTTCAGATAATCACCCAGATACTCAACACAAGTCTGTCCTGAAGGCGGATCAAACACTGCTAACTCAGCACTGCTGCAATTAACCGCCACGCCATGGAGCTGAGTAGAAGTTACGCCTGCGACGAAGTACGTGAATGGGGAGACGCGGTACATGAACATCCAGAAGCCGGGGAGGGCGTGGGGAGGTTGCATGACGCCGTTGAAGGTGAGGGCCATGAAAGTGCAGATGCCTGTTATGAGGGTTGAGGTGGAGATGGTGAGGAGGGCGAAGGAGATGGCGTAGATGAAGAATTGGATGAAGAAGAGGAGGACGAGGCCTTGGCGGGGGGATGATTGGTTTGTGGTGTCTGAGATGGGGTAGTAGTAGATTGCCCAGACGCAGATACTGAGAGGGATTTGGTAGAGGAGTTCGGTGAGTATGAGGGATAGGATGAGGACTTTGCTGGAGTAGGTTTTGGTGAGGCGTTCGCGGGTTTGGTATATTGTGTGGTGGTTTGTGAGGAAGGGGGTGATTTGGTGGACGATGGGGATGAAGAGAGTGCAGATCATGAATGCGGAGAAGATGGTTTCTTGGAGGCCGCTGATTGAGGTGCCGTGTTTGTAGAAGGAGAAGCTGATGATGAGGGCGGCGCTTATTTGGAGGAGGATTCTTGATAGAATGGAGAGGGGTGAGCGCCAGTATTGTTGGAGGGTTCGGCGGAAGACGATGGGGAGTTGGAGGTGTAGTGGGATGGCGAATTCTTTGTTGTCTGTTGGGTCGTTGTTGTTCTGCGTGTCAACGTTCTCGAACTCTTCGTGGATGGGGTCAACTCGGTTGTTCTTGGCCCAGATATCGGACCAGGGCTCCCCGTGTCTGTTGGTGGCAGTGGAGAGGATCTCGACTATGTATTCGGCGTCATCTTCGTTTTGTTTGAGGGTCCGTGGAGCGCCGTTGGATTCGAGATAGTCTAGCAAAGGCTGCGCATTGTCGCCGGTGGATCCGAAGTATACAGTTCTACCCTCGGCGGAGAGGAATAGGAGCTGGTCAACTTGCTTGAATGCCATCATGCTGGGTTGCAGCGTACAGAGTATCGTCTGTCCGGCGTCTGCCAACTTCTGGAGAATACGGTAAATTGCGCGTGAGCTTTGCACGTCGAGACCGCTGTTAAACATTAGCTCCTGCTCTATGCAAGAAATGCCAATTGCAAAGCTTACCTGACAGGCTCTTCCACGAACAGAATCTCTGGCTTCGCAGCCAATTCTACTCCTAAACTCAAAAGCCTCCGCTGCTTGACGTTCAAGCCTTCTCCAACCACTCCAACGACAGAGTCGGCATAGTCCTCCATTTCCAGCGCCTTAATTATTTGCTCAACGTACGTGTGTTTGTCCTCCTTGGAGACGGAGTGTGGTTGTCGTAGCACTGCGCTAAACCGCAAAGTCTCGCGAACAGTCGCCGTTTCCAAATGGATATCCTGTTGTTGAACATAGCCTATCTTCCGCTGGAAATTCGAGCCCAGAAGGCAGTTGTTGAAGAGTATGTCTCCACTAACAGTGCCTGTTGTGGAACGCTGCGCCAACACCTTGAGTAATTCCGCCTTCTGGACACTGTTATGGCTCATCAACGCTGTGATCGTCCCTGGCTTGGCCCGACCAGTCACTTGGTCCAGAATGCGATGGTTTCCACTACTTGTTTGGATTTCGCAGACCACATCGCGCCAGCTCAAGTCATTTCGCTGAGGTTCAATGAAACTGAAATCATTCTGTCTCACATTGCCAGTGGTATCTTGGTCTGGAGTCACCGAGCCTTTTCCAGATTCTTCGTCCTCTTTGCGATACTCTTCGCGCCTGAGGTAAGCCGATTTGCTTCCGAAATGAATAGTTGAGTGTGCAATGAACTCCGTCGCAACGAAATAAAGACCCATCCAACCGACCAGGAAAACAATAAGAATACCAAAGTTTCTCCACACATGGTCGTAGGTATACTTGTAGGTCTGCCAGATATAGTCGTCACCACTAACAGTACGACGGCCAGCAACAGCCCCGACAGCTGAGCAAATATATGCATTCGTCTGGAGGTTGGGCTGAGAGGGTACGAACTCGGCACAGCCAAATTCCCGACCGTGGAACTCGTTGGCGACTAGGGCTTCATATGCGTAATATATGGGGTTGATATCATGGACAAATTCGAACCAATGAGGCATTCGAGGCTCCCGGATAATGAAGCCCGTAAATATGAAAACCCAAAGTACCAGCATTCCAGCGAGGGCTTGTACTTGCGCCAGTGTCTTTGTCACTGCTGCTGTCATCCGGAAGGCTGCACTAGCCACATGGATCAACACGAAGTTGATAAGAAAGCATATGAAGAATTGCGAAGGTTCGCGGCGAAGGTTGCTCATGAAGTATATGACAATAGTGTTCACAAGGACGAGAAGAAAATTCTTGGGGATTTCACTCAATAAAATGGCGAGTGATTCGGTCATGGGGTGATAGAAGCCAAATGAGGCATGCTTTTCCACCACCGAACGCTGGGAAAGTTGACTGCTCAACTCGGTTAGTGGCAGGAAGGAGTTGAGCATCACTAGGTAGAAAAGCACGGAACCCTTCGAGAAGAATGCAGCGGTCGTTGCAGGTGTATTGTAAAACATTGAGCCGATCAGCAGGGCTATAATGAAGCTCACTGTAATCTTGCATGCTGCTGAAGCACGTTCGTTCCAAGCTCGCTGAAAAGCACGAATGGTAGTGAGTCTTACTTGCAGCATTATACCGGGATACTGCGAACCAAACTGCGTCTTTCCTAACTGTTTCTGTTCTTCATCCAGCTTAGGGTCGAGCAGGCGTTCTCTTGAGTGAGAACCCGCAATCTGCTTATGACCACTCATCTCCCTTTGTAGCTCTTGATACTCTCGGGACTGGCACCAGTACGTCTCAAAGTCTTTCGGGGTTCGGGGAACTCTGTTCTCCATACCCCGACGTGGCTGCCTCTCCGTTGGATTGGTAATTGAAGTTAGGAATTCGGCAGTGCTCTGGTGTGGATGACAATACCACCCTTGGCGCTCGAAAAAGCCTTTAGCCTCAGAAGAAGAGCCGTAGAATATCTGGCGACCTTCGTACAACAACAGAGTCCTGTCAAATAGATCATACATTGCTTCGCTAGCTTCATATGCGGCTACAACATGGGACGATGAGCCCAAATCTGCTGCCAGTCGCAAAGACTGCACGAACTTCAATGCCTCTGTTGAAGCTAGGCCCTGAGTTGACTTGTCCCATGCAGCTAAAGATGTTCCGGATAGGATTATCTCGGCAATACTAACTCGCTTGCGCTCCCCCTCTGGAACGTCTTTGACTTTAGTGTTATACGTGTGACTCAGGCCGAACACGGCTACAACAACTTCTGTTATAGCTTTTGCATATTCTGTCCGTGTTATTCCCTGTAGTCTTTCGGTTGGGGCTCGACTTGATGCCGCAAACTCCAAAGTCTGGCCAACTGTCAAATATGGAAAGTGTTTGTCGGTTCCGTAGTTGTAAAGACTTGCTCTCTTGACATTCTCCAGTGTCTGTTGATGTGGAATGCCTTGGTAATGGAAGACCGATTCAGGACCTAGCTTCAAGCCATCAAGCTTCCCACACAATGTTTTTGCGACCGTACTGCACCCTGCTCCAGGTCGTCCTAAGATAAGCAGCAGTTCCCCATTGCTTATGACGCCGTTTAGATTCCGTACGATACTCTTGGGGGATTTCCGGCCCAGACTGAATGTATCTCGCGGGCGCAGTAGGGCAGAGAAGACGCTCATAGCCGTCAATTTACGAGCATCGGGCCTAAATACTAGAACATGTAAGTTTTGAAATGTCGTTGCCGATAGGTCGTTATGTGTGCCCCGGTTAAGCATGCACATCATCTTTCTGAGCCACCTGTATAGACTGAAATCTCGGCTCTCTGGGTTAAGATACGGCTCGCCGGGCGAGACATTGGTCAATTGAGTGACACGAGCAACAACTTGATCATTTGCAAGCTTGGTGAGATGTAGTTTTTCGGTTGGATCCAAGGCAGCGCAAGTCTTTGTACGTATTAAGGTCTTGCTATTCTTTTCGTCTCCCATTGCGGATTGTTTTCCTGATAGAGATCCAGCTTCGGATGTCGAATTTCCCTCATCAACCGCAATGCTGTCATGATGGTTTATGTCGCATGAAATTTCTTTCTCTTCTCCTGTGTGCACCACTTCCGAGGACAAAGCGGGCGCAGTATGAAATAGAAGAGGGTCTCCTTCAACTGCTTTTCCTGAAGCCTCATCTTCCTCCGTTACTCCTTGGTCAGCCACTATCGCGGGGCTAATAGACACACTTTGGTCCATATGCCTAGCAGTCGCATAAGTATCGTCTTCTTTGGCTTCTCGAGAGTCGGTTATCCCACTTTCCATCTCTTGCTCCTTCACTGCGGGTGCGATGGTTAGTGGGGACGACGTAGGTTCCGCGTGTGATATGAGAAATGTCCCTTTTCTTCTTTCGCTTGTTTGAGTTGTTCCATTCATTATGTTGATTCTTGTTTCCCAAGGAGCAAGATCCGGTGTCACGGTCTGAAGGGGGACCTTATCAACGTTGGCTTCGGCCCCTACGTTCTCAAGGCTTTCTTCTGTAAACACCAATTCCGATGAAGCGGTCTGTGACTGAACTATCATGTCGCTGTGGCCGTCCGTATTGTTCGTTGCGCAATTGCGGTCCTCCAATTCATTGGTCTCTATCCTAGACTCAGTATGTGATAGTATGGTGCTCTGTTCGGATGATTCGGTCCCCTGTGCTTGAGGAATTCCCTGGGCGAACCGCGACGTAGACAGGAGCCCCGAGGAAGTATCCTGCCCGTGATTTGACGTTTCTTCCATATATCCATCATGGGTTTGCGCTTCAGCAGCCACTCCTCTTCCAGCGACTCTGTGTTCCGATGTTGCATTTGGGCCTCTCAAATGCATAGTAGAGGACGAGATAGAATTTTCTGGCATGCCAAACTGCATAGCTCCAGCACGCTCTTGAAAAATATCTCGCCTTTGATTTGACATTTCTTCCGCATATTCTCCGTAGAGTTGTGCTTCAGTAGCCGCCTCCCTTTGAATGACTCCTGAAGTCGATATAGTATCCGAGAACGACGACTGCGGGTTGGAGAAAGAGATGTTCCTTTCCATCATCTCAGACTGCATTGCTTCAGCATTTTGATTAGACGCATTATGCACTTGAGCTACAACTGCCGTGCCTTCCGTATATCCACTATAGGTTCGCATTTCAGAAGCCACCTCCCGGTCAGCGTCTATCGATGCTGATGTAGCATCCAAGAACCCCAAGTGGGTGTTGTCGGAAAGAATGTTTCTTTCTACCATCCCGGACTGCAGTGCTTCAGCATCTCCTTGAAAGAGGCCATGCCCTTCTTCTTTCATAGACAATCCTTCAATATTTCCACTATAGATTCGCGCTTCAGGAGCCACCTCCCGTTCAGTGACCCTTGATACCGATGGAGCATTCGAGAAACCAAACTGCATACTGGAGGAGGAGAAGTTTCTTTCTACCATCTCGAACTGCCTTGATTCAGCATGCTCTTCAACAGTCCTAGAAGTGGAGAAGAAGTGAGGAGATGTTGACTCCGTTTGATAGAATTGAAACTGGCTCCTATTACCATCTCCAGTTGCAATGAACTCGTGGACGGCCGCGTCTTCGACAGCGCGTGATCTGGATGAGTATTCAGAGCTCGATCGCACATGCGCAAGATTTAATTCCCTGAAAGTGTCCTCGCTGAAATTGCCACTTCTAAAGACATCTTCCTCGCCCATCGATCGGGAACTAGAAAAGAATGTTGAAGAAACGGACCACCCATGGGCCGAGAGATGATCTCTCTCCAGCCCATCCCTGTTGGTATTCAATTCGTTCTCGTCTCTGTCGGCCATGTTGTAGTCATTTAATCATCATTCTCCGCAATGATGGTTACGAACTGGATCTTTGGCCAGCGATCGGATTAGTCCAGAATAGGGAAGGAAAACAATCATCGAAGAGTCACAAGTGGTCGGTCTCAAACAGCTGGGGTAGAAAAGAGAACTGCTAGCCAAGACAGAAACTGGGAGAATGAACTCCGGGACTCTGCCCACTTGTCAGAGAGTCTCTGCGTAGACCGGGAGCCATTTTGTCCGTGGTGCAGCTCAACAAACCCAGTTCAGCTGGCACTCGCATAAGTCTATCGACGGACCAAAATTAGTCTTCGGAAGAAAGAAGCAAACAAGTCATCATCAGATCCTCAGAGGTGCATGAGCTCTGTGGTACCCACTGATCTACAAGGCAGGCTCGGGATTTTGTATGTGGACGAATAGCTAGTCCGGCACCCGGGGGCGATAGTGATCCCGGCCAGATGAATAGTTTAGACATGATGTCTCTGTATGGACGTAGTGTACGATTGATAATCGCGGCGACGATCTGTTCTTGATCCACAGATTGATGCTTCGTTCATGTTTTGGGTTATAAAGCAGACAGACTGCGAGAATAGAAATGAGAGACTGCTTTCATGGCTTCAGCTGAAATACCCGTGGGTCCAGGTGATCCCGACAGCTGGCTCCGCCGGCTAGTGACTACCATACGGCTCGTGCTGCCCGGCGTCGATCATCCCGGGACAGTCCAATGGTTGGTTAGTACTGAGAGTTATGATCAAGCTCAGGGCAATACTACTAGTAAAAACAGAAAGGCAGAAAAATATTTTTATTATACTTCTATTCAAGTGCTACGGAACAAGATCCGCGTGGAAAGGGCGGTTGGTGTGCGCGTTGTGACCATGTGACCTCACATACTTGTGGTATCGCTCCAACACGGCCTTTCAGGCGAAGAAGCTTCCGAGGGGCGTATTTGAGTGGTAGTCTTTTCCTAGATAGGCAACTTTTGGTATAGAAGAATCCTTTTCAAAGTGCGGAGCAGCGGCGGCGCCGGTAGCGAGACATCCCTAGCAGGTGCTTCATGTCACAGATCACCTCTGGCTTTGTTCGATCGCGTTCCTGCAAAGAGTGAAGAAATCATTGTCTGTATAGGTGCTTCCCGCGTCGGCAGGCATCGCTTGTTCTATCATTGTCACCCAGGTAGGAATGTCATGAAGGATCTCTCTGAGCATCAAGAGTGAAGCAGTAAACGGAGGTAGGCCGCACTGGAGTTGCTTGGCGAGTATGTAGATGTTTTTGAAGTTTTCAATGTACTGCCCCGCAGTTGAATAATCGGCACGCGTCATTCTGACTAGTTTGTACGCGACGTTCTGACATCTTACAATGCCGTGCCCTAATACAATCCTTCTTATCACTTCGTATGCTTCATCGGCAAAATCCTTGTCGTCGACAGATGACACAAACTCTTCCATAACTTCACCAGATAGCTGCCTAGTCAGCCATATCTGCAAGCGTTTCGAGCAGCTATGCCATCTGACGTAGTTCTTATGGTTTTCTTCCGGGCGTGAAAGGTCACGGTCGACAAGGTCCTGCAAGCCAAGGTTTTCAAGTACCAGTCGGACCCGAAACTCCCATTTTGGGAAATCGGACCATCCCATCAGTAGGAATGGCAAACCGGGAATAGTATCAGGTAGATCATCGGGTATTCTGTCCGCTTGCGTGGTTCCCTTTGGAGGAGTAAGCGATAAATCCCTGAAGAAGATCGCGCGTCCCTGTTGGGAAGCCATTCCGATGGAGATTAACTAATCGAAGTGCTGAAAGCGGGGAGTATATTGCGGATGGTAGTTCCTCAGCACCTCTGAATGTTCGTATTGGGTGAACTTCGGTGAACACCCATTCACCACCTTGTTTCGCTGATATTAGTCTCTCCGCCTTTTTCGGCGTCAGATTCCGTGTTGTGCAGGTGTGGACAGCTTAACAGCGGAGATTCTTGGTTTATATCCTCTCAAGATAATGGTCAGGGACTGTTTCAACTGTAAGTATGATATTAGATTGTCAAGAGGGTGACGTTGGTTATGTTGAGGCCATGTAGGCAGCAGAGGCGGCGAACTATCTGGTGGGGTCAAGCTACAGTGAATGTCTGGAGCTTGACAGCATATCTCATTTCATCTATAGTTTCACATTATGCTATGTATTGATCCCCAGTGTAGGCATGACGGTATAAGCCTTAGCAGTTGCTTAGATATCACAGGACTACGCGAAAAAGGGAGTATATTACAGCGGCAGCATCTACCTTTTGATTTTTGTAGGGCCATGAATTGGCTATGTTTGCTCTTACTCAATGATCTAGAAGAAAATTTCCCAGGCCATGTGCGATTTCGCTCGGAGTATGTCCACCTCGGCTGCACCTTCACTCAAGGACGGGATCTCTTCCACGTATTGTTTTACCTCTGCCCTATCATTCGCTTTCATTCGGAGAACCTGTCGAATTCCACCAGTCAGTCCCTTTGTTGTTACAGCACAGCGGTCTCAGTCAACTTACCTTTCCAAAGCCTCACGCAGTGCAATGCATCTCTCTCCCCAAACAACGCATCAAACGACGATGCATCCCTTGCGACAATAACAACTTACCAAGTCACACACGGGTCCGTGATAAAGGGCCGCAGACGTTGCACTGGCTCACAGTGCAGATACTTTCCTCCTTGGTGGAAGAGCTTAGACACCGAAGTGAATTTTCCAATGGGGACGACCTTGGCGTCTGAATACCCATGCTTAATCCACGGCACCTTCTGCTTAATGGACTCAGCTCGTTCTGGGCTCTCAATGCTCCTCCAATGCACGACCGCTCCATTGACCTTGTTTATTTCGTCGGTTATGGAGGGGAAGAATCGAGTGGTCTCTCCACTATGGGTTGAAGCCCAGGCAAACTCGGACTCTTTGCGAAGTAAGGCGAGTGGGGGCGTCTTCAAGGGTCTTCCCTTCATTAAAGATGTCATAAAATAGGTAGTCCATTTCGGCAGGAGGTATAAGCTTGGGTGGCGAAGGACTAGGGCTTTAAAACGGGAATAAATAACACGAGAGTTAGAGATACCTTGATCACGGATGATTCAGTATGTTACATCGCCGTTTGTCAGATGGAAGATATATTGATATACACCTGTACTTCCCTTGCCGCGCTCCTAACGGAATGCGATCAGAAATGGGAAGCCGGTGGGGGATCGGCAGTTAGTTTTATACTAAGCTGGCGGGGATAGATGTGTCCTGAAAGCCTAGTGGTAGATTCCAAGAATATTCCTAACATCTGAAGTTATAGATCCCGACGGGGCCGAGGGGGCCGATGGGGTAGCGACGATCATGCAGCAAGCCATCCAGAGCAGACCGTAGGTGTCAATGCGCAAATGACGGAACTGGCTGAGCTTGATGCACACGAACTTACTAGAGCAATTAGACTTATTGAGAGATTTTGCATAGCCTACTCTCAGAGTCCGGAATGTGGAGACGAAATGGAACTGCATATATAAATCTCGAGTTGCCCATTTGATTTGGCCCTAAACCAGAAGCAAATCCTACATCAAGATGCACAATGGCCCTAATTCTCCTAACGACCCAAAGGTATTCTTTACATATCATATACAGATCCTTTTACATCAAAAAACCTGCGTACTTAGAACCACTAGTGTTGGAGCACCCGACTCCGCTGCGCCATCCTGATGAACATTTGTTTCTATGTCTTTATCGGAAACCTATACGCATCAGGCCTCGCCACAGGCTTTGCTTCGTTGGCCCAGGTCTTCCACGTCGAATTCGACACGCTTACTGGCCTTGTCGCCTGGCCTGTATTCGCACTCGGAATTTCCAACCTCTTTTGGATGCCGACAGCAATGTGCATCGGTAAGCGACCAGTCATCTTGATCTCTATGATAGTCTTCCTAGCTGGATGCACATGGAGCATCAAAGCAAGCAGCTTCAAAGCCCTACTAGCTTCCAGAATCGTGGCTTCATTTGGTGCGTAGTACCTAACATCACTACTATCCCGTGAGCTCCCTTCATTGGTGATCTAGGGGCTGGGTCTATCGAGGCTCTTGGACCGTCTATTATCGCTGGTAAGTGAGTACATATTGACTATTCTTTTGTCTATAGACCTGTCAATTAAATATCGTTGATTCATATAGATCTCTTCTCGGAGCGGTATTTCGCATCCGCTATGGCTCTCTTCGCCTTGTCACTTTGTACTGGATCCCAAGTCGGCCCTATGATTGCCGGTTTTGTCATCAGTGACGTGAGCTGGAGGTGGTTCTTCATCGTCTGCGCGATCCTCGGTGCAGTCAATTTCTTGACTTCGATCCTCTTCTTGCCTGAAACAACCTTCCGGCGTTGCTTTGCCGAAGACGGGAATAGCAATGCCGCTGAAACCGAAGAGAAGGTGGAACAAACTGTCGAACAGAGAGAGAACGAACCTTCTCCAAGGAACTACTGGAAGGATCTAATCTCATTTAGAGATCGTGGTCTCGAGCCTGAAGGACTGAAATGCTGGCCTGGGCAATTTTCCCTCCCGTTTCGGTTCCTTTGTGTGCCGATTGCTTTATTTGCGACGATCGCCTATGGTATTTTTCTTTCGGGGTAATTCATACTTAGTATTCTCTGTTCGCATCATTCAGTCTTTCTACTCATACACTTAACCATTCCAGCTGTATCCACTGCTTGACATACTCCTATTTATATATCATACAAGCTAACCAGAAGGCACTACCCCCAGAATCGTCCTCATCTCCGCAATCAGCCCCCAATTCCTCTCAGCATCACCATACCACCTCTCCTCCTCAGCAATCGGCGTCTACACACTCTCCTCCTTCCTCGGCATCGTAATAGGCTACCCCATCGCCGGTCCCTTAACCGATCTCCTCTCCAGATTGGTCGCCACTCACAGAAGACACACTACCACCACCACCACCACTATCAACAACACTCACCACCCAAAAGACCGCATGCCCGCACTCATCGTCCCCTTTCTGATCGCACCTCCAGGCTTAATCCTCTTCGCGTACGCAATCGCAAGAGAGAAATCATTATATGTCTCTGCCACCGGATACGCCATGCAAGCAGCAGCTCTTGTCTTCGTTCCATCAGTCACCATGTCTTATATCATGGATGTGTATCCGCAGTCCGGAAGCGAGGCCATGGTGCTCATCAATGCGGGTAAAAATGTCGTTGCGTTCGGTGTGACGGTCTCGGGTGCTGGTTGGGTGGGACGTGAGGGCATTGTCAGGGTTTTTTGGGAGTTGGCTGCTGTGCAGTGGGTGGTTTTGGCGTTGGCGATGCCGTTGTATTTGTTTGATGGTAGTGTGAGGAGGTTTGCGGGGCGGTTTGTTTAGGGTTGGTGTACTTCTTGATGCTCCCGTTTTCTTTTACTTTCTTTTTTATTATTATTCTTATTGGGTTGGCGTTGGAGCTCGCTTTTGCGCTGTATGGGATTTACTCAAGTTTTGTCTATGTCACTCAATGTATGGTGTATGGCAAAAAAAAGTATCGTGAGTTATTTACTCCCACTCCATGAACCAGTCACAGCCTATGTTGCTTTGGATTTAGCGCCAGAGACATAGCTCAGCTGCGGGGCTAGTTCAAGGATCAGGAGGTGGGTTTACTTGTTTACTTCCCCCGTGATTGACTGCCACATCCTAAGTATCTGCAAGACATACTCACAACGTGGTCTGGTCTGGCCCCCATACGCCCCGCATGACTGTTGATCTTGCTTGGAGTCAGTATGCATCTCGTCTAGTAGGTTCGGAGTCTAGGAATTTAGTATCACTTCAAGCTTTCAGGGAGAATATCATGTCGGGAGCAGTGCGGCTGAGCCCGCTCATGTGCCAGCCATGGTGGTGGGGTCTTGGTCGGTTAGTATGTACATCGTAGTTCTAGAAAGCTAAGACCAGGATCTTCCAGTGGCTGCTGGGGAAGCTATTTCTCCGGTGAGCTGTCTAGCTTGTGTTGTCTGGATCGTGAGATCGGAACTGTTGTTGCTGTCAATAGGCTTGAATGAGACGCGCCTTGATGAAATACGGGAAATCGTGGATGGTCACCGGGGAACATATCCGCGAAGCCAATTGCCTGGTATTTGCTCAGGAGTTCTTACATACGTAGTATACTCTTATTGTTGGTGAATCTTATGGTTAGCACACTCGGTATGTTCGAGAAGGCGATCCCATGATCGGTCCTGATATTGACGGCCGTGCTTGCTTGGTCTGTTGCCCGAGTATCCGAGACAGAGGACGATGAGAAAGGAAGTCCAAATGAAATGAAATGACATCATCGCGCATTCAACCCTAGCTTCGGCCGCCACGGCTTAGCTCAAATGTACCTATAGTACGTTAGTGCCTGGATGGTTGATTTGGTGGCTCATCCTTGGCTATGGGCGCCGATGATCTGCCACAGTACTGCCCAAGGTAGAAAGGTGTATTGCATGAGCAGGTTGCGCTAACATATATTGGCGAAATCACAAGCCGTACGCATATGCTTGGTTGTATTGAGTTGGGTGGCCTGTGTACGAACCTTGGGCTGTGCACAATACCCCGGATTCAAGGTCACTAGTATGCGGCGTCTCCTGAAATCCACGAGGGAGGTCTTCGGGACACAAGCACATCCTCGGTTGCCCTGGATTCTTACATCCAACTTGAAATCTATTTAGTCATGAATTTCCAGTTTGACTCACAGATTGCATTTGTGAGGGGGACAAAAATCCCGCGCTGTCGAGCCAAGACCACCAGCCTGATCCAAGCGCCGAAGCACACGCCAAAGAACTCAATCCGTTCTAGTAGCCCCACCAATTGTCTCTGCTTTGTGATTGTTGGGCAAATATTCGACACGCAAACAGAACCAACTATCTCAGAATGGTAGGAAATCAAACATTGGTCCTGGAACGCCCGAATGTTTTCCGAGCCACTTACATTGACCAGACCGCGTTCCAATCAGAGCGAGTAACACTAATATGTTCGAGGACCAGTAGCTCATAGCAGAGCTCCTTCCTTGGTACCATTGTGTCTGCGTGGTGGATGCTCTTGAAACAACAGCTATAGCGGATGTAGTGGTACATTTCTTCCATGCATATCTACCCAGTAGTTTATCCTGGTTCCAGCTGACCGGGATCGATTAGTCACCTTTGGTGTAACATGACTGCCATATTTTTGGGAATCAGGTTTCGCATTCCAGAAATCGTGATGGGTATTTCAGGTAAGCTGACCATGTCTGTCAGATGAGCGCCAAAGATAGCTTAGATTCTAGTAACCTGCCATGTGAATTGACGCGGGTGTCAGAACACCACGAGGTGATCTACTATCGACCAAGAAAGGAAAGAACCAAGGCGCTGCCATGCCGGTCCACGAATAAGGCAAGGTAAGCGACGGGTGAGCACTGGGAAGATGCAGAGATTGGTACTCCGTAAACGAGATGCATTGAGCGATTCACGATGCACATGAGGTAGGGGAATTCCTGCCTATGAGATTGTGCACCCCTCTACAGCCCGATGAGAAACGCGGGATGTCCAGAACTGGTAAGCCGCAGAGGAACCTGGAGACACGCTCGGCCACAACCGAAGAGCCTGACTGCGGGGGGAGGCCGAGCGCAGTTTCACGGATAATGGGGATTCCTACAACTGACGGATGAAATGGCCTGGTCTCTTGGCAACAAACTCGAGCCGGCTTAGTGGTTAGACGCTAAGCCGCCCGAAGGGACGCCAGCAAGGAGTATGGGCTGCCACCCTTGGGCCAGTGAGGTGCCCGGCTTGCCTCGCGCGCTATTTCCCTCAGTCGGCCGGCGAGCTGAATGGTTATCCATTAGTACTTTGGGGTACCGCGTACTGTGTACTTTGAGACGGGCGCAGGGCTCCCTCCGTGAAGGCAGCCTAATCGTCCCCACCAGACTGCTCCTCAGGATAAGCATCTGACATCCCACATCTTCACCCATCAAGCGGGTATAGACATCCAGGAAGTTT